TGGGGGGACAGCAGGACAGGGACAGCAGGGTCAGGGGACACAGCAAGGACAGCAGGGACGGGGGGGGGACAGCAGGGATGGGGGGGACACACCATGGTCAGGGGAACACCAGAGGGAGGACATCAGGGTCAGGAGGACAGCAGAGGGAGGGATGACTCCAGGCAGAGAGGGGCTCCAGGGAGAGGGGGGTTCCTGGTGTTGGGATTGATTTCAGGTTTTCAGGGAGTTGAGGTGTCAGATGGTGGGAATGAGAGTGTGGGATTCCAGGTCTGGGGGATTCCAGGTTTTGGGGATCTCAAGGTTTGGGGATTCTGGGTTTTGGGGGATTCCAGATTTTGGAGGATTCAAATGGTGGGGTTTCAGATTTAAGGATTTCAGATTTGGGGATCTCAGGTCCCAGGGATTTCAGGTCCCAGGAACCTCAAGGATCTCAAGGATCTCAGGTCCCTGGAACCTCAGGGATCTCAGGATCTCAGGTCCCAGGGATCTCAGGTCCCTGGAACCTCAGGGATCTCAGGATCTCAGGTCCCAGGGATCTCAGGTCCCTGGAACCTCAGGGATCTCAGGCTCCCAGCACCAGAACATGGAGCAGGAGACAAAAGCCCCTTTGAGCTTTCCACGAGAAAAAAAGGAATAAAACTCCAACAGCCCCCAAACCTGCTCCTTCAACCACCAGCGACCTGATGGGAAGGATGGGGATGAGGATGAGGATGGGGAGGAAGGACCCACCTGAGATCACCTCCAGGAGTAGCATCAGCTTCAGCCCATCCCGGAAATCCTCGTCGATGTTCTCGATCTGCGTCCCGGCCTTGCGGAGGTGGGAATTGCACCAGGCTGTGAAGGTCTGGGGACAGGGACAGGGCAGTCAGGATAGGGACAGCTGGGGGGACAGGGACAGCTGGGGGGACAGGGACAGCTTGGGGGGACAGGGACAGGACAGTCAGGACAGGGACAAGACAGTCAGGACAGGGACAGGCTGGGGGGACAGGGGCAAGGGGGGAAGGAAA